GTTCATATACCTCCATTTGATATAGCTTCTCCAACACTTGACCTTCGTTCAGGTGATACATTTCCATTAAAAATTTCATTCACTCCACAATCAACTGGTGAATTTACTAATGAATTTATTATGATTTGTGATAATGGTGAAATATCACGCTATACATTGAAAGGTTATTTTCTATATCGGAATCTACTTTTATTAAGATGATAAATATATATTTAGGTGTGGCACAAACAATTCAAATTCGTCTTGAAGATGTTGAAGGTGGTCTAGTTGATTTAAATGAACTTGAAATACGTGATATTTCAACACAATATTCAATTAATTTTATTTCGATAACTCCATTTTCTTATTGTCAAAAAAGAATACTAATTAAAAACTTAACGTAAAAAAAAACAAATTGAAATAATTAGTTTATAAGTTTTCTGTATCATATAGAAATGTTGAATTACCATTTGTATGGACATTACTTGAACCTGTACTTTATAATCGTGAAGATTTTGCTGATCAAACACAACCAGTTGAAATCGAAAGAATCGTTTGTGAATCATCTCCATTTAATATTCAACCAAATCGAGGAACATTTCCTCCATCATCAATCGTAGAATTTCATCTTGTATTTGCACCATCACAAGTAATACAATATACATAGATTTTCATAAATCTTTTTCTTAATTTCTTTGTCATATCATAGATTGGAAATTATCATACAGTCTTTCATTTAATTATACCAAATGCTCCGATATATCCAACATCAGTATCAAGTCCAGAACATACGGATCATACAAAAAATTCAACTAATGGACGAGCTCCTTCATCGGACATACTTTCTCGTAATAGCTCAAAAATGTCAGCGATACCATCAGCAAGTATTCAATATGCTGATCAAACAGTATTACGATTTGAAGCACGTGGTATATGTGAAAATTTTAAATATATATTTGATCCATTTGCTCTTATGTTTATGGATAAACTTTATAAAAATATTTCATATCGAAAAGATTTTCAAGTAAGTTAAATAAATTACAAATAGAAAATTTTCTTTTTTCTTGTTTAGTTCAGTAATACAAGTATCAGTCCTCTGATAATTAATTGGATGAGTGTAGTTGGCGATGAAATAATTAATGTTGAACCAGTTGCTGCAGAAATTCGTATGTTAAATCTGATACTATCGAAATCTAATCTTTGTTTTTTATTTAGCACCGGATGCAACTTGTCAATTTACATTAATATTAACCGGAACAAAAACAGGTTTAGTAAAAGTCGAAGTACCCTATGAAATTGATGGAATTGATGAATATGGATATTTTCATGTTGAAGCAGAGATTATTGTTAGAAGATTTATTCTAGGATTTTAATAGAATTTGAATAATGGATTTTATTTAGGGTCCTGATGTTGCCATTGATCCAGCTCCAATTGATTTTGGTTTAGTTGAATATGGAGAAACAATTGAAAAGATTTTTAAAATCAAAAATACAAGTCCAATTATTGCAAAATGTCGTGTGGAAGAAGTGAATAAAGTAAAATAATTGATTTATTCTTTCCAGTAACAATACATATGCTATGAAAAATATTCTTCTATTTAGAATGAATCTAAACCTGTATTATCTTTACCAGATAATACTGAAATAACACTTAAACCAATCGAAGTATATGAATTTCCTATTCGACTATTAGCAAATGAAGAAGGTTCATTATTACATCACATTGAAGTAATTATTGAAGATGGCAAAACTATGTAAATTTCATTTTATTTCTTTTTATCCTATTATATTTGATCTGTTTAAGACCTATTGAAATCACTGCAATTATTCAACGACCAAGTGCCTATATTTCTCCTGTTGAACTTAATATTCAAGAATCATTTGTTAATGTTCCAGTTACTCGATATGTCGAAATCTATGCTGTCAATGCATTACCTACACATTTTCAATGGGGAGAAGTATAAATGAATATTAATTAAAAAGCGAAATAAATCATCCTTTTCTAGGTAACATGTTCTGATAGAGATCAATGTTTAATTGAAATTAATCCTCGTCAAGGTACAATCTATGATGGCAAATCAATATCTATTGAAATAACATTTATTCCTCAACAATGTGGAAAATTAAATGATGATTGGCATATACCTTGTTATATACAAAATTCATCACAACCCATATTTCTTAAATTAAATGCTCTAATAAAAACTATGAATTTAGAATTTCGACTTAATGATAAGTAAGATAAATATTTTTCTATAGTTTAATATTATTTTTTTTTGTTTCCGTCTATTATTAAGTACATTTCAATTTGATGAACAATTTATACTTGATTTTAATCGTGTACCATTAGGAGAAAAATCATGTTTAGAATTAATTATTACAAATTTAACAGATATTCAAAGTGGAATAAAAGCTAAGGTAGCAAAATTTAAAACACGAGTAAGATAGATTTAAATAAAAAGAACGAAAAATGATTAAACAATTTATTATTTCATAGGTTTTACCAACTGTTAATGAACAAAGTAAGACAAATAACATACAAGTCCTTATCATTTACTTCATATTATATTTTAGCTAATCAAAACTATGAACCAATAAACCAAGAAGTTGGTATTGGCTTTCATTTAAATAAATCCGAAACAGATATTTATAATTTACCACCACGTGGAACAGTTACTATCCCAATCTCAGTGATTAGTTCAATGTGGGGAACATATACAGATCTTTTACAATTACAAGTAAATATTTTCCAACAAAAATTTCATATTTTATTTTCTAAATCAATCAATAGATTGATGGAATCGATACAATCAAAGAAATTCCTCTTCAAGTACATATAACCGGACATCCAATAAAAACATATTTATGTGCAAATAATAAATCGAATTCAACATCATTACCAATTGTACAATTTGGTTCAATGTTACATAATTCTTTACCAATTAAAAAAAAAGTTCATATGCAAAATATATCACATATACCAATATGTATTGATTGGGTTGTATATGATATAACAGAAGATGCAACAGATAGACCAAAATTTATTGAACTTATACCTGTTATTGATAATAATCCATTTAATCATTTTGCAAGTGAAACAACTATTATGGAAAATAATTCAGAAATTATGTCACAAACAACTATTTCAACAAGTAAGATTAAACAGAGAGTTTTTTTTTTACCATATTAAATTGATTTTATATATTATAGAAACAAGTTCTCGAGCACCTTCAGCTATATCAAGTCAATCATCAATTAGTTTAATTGATAATAGACCAACACAATTAATTAAACTTTATGTTGAACCTTATCGAGGCAAACGAGCATCTGATAATAATCCAATTTTTACAACTTCACCGATAACACAAGTAAATAATTAAGTATAATATTCTTATTCTTATTTTAATATTATAGGTAATTAAACCACGAGAACATTTTTATGTTGATATAACTATGTTACCACGTAATTGTCCAATAAAAGATCGTCCGATAAAATGTAATGCACGAGTCTGTGGTATATTAAGTGTAACTGAAGATGTATGTAAAGTTTTCTCATTATTTCCCTATATAAAATAAATATTTCTAGAGACAAGGTTCACCAAGTCAAGGTTTTCAACGAAAAATATACTATGAACATGAAGAACAAGTTGAATTTCGTATAAATGGTTCACTTGATATACCATCATTACGTGTTGAACTTGATGATGATGATTGTAATGTTGAAAAATTAGAAGCACTTTCATTTGCTATTCCTGTTGGTAAGTTTACTTTCAAAGAGGGGAAAGAGACATAACACACCAACTTTTTTTACGATTTCCCGACACATAAAAACATACAAAATCTTCAGAAGAGTGTGGGTGTATAAACCATTCTTCCCTCATAATAGACACCCACACCCACCTATTCCGAACACCCCGACAGATTACCGGGTGTCAGGGACACCTAGTACGTTATGTCTTTGTCCCTCAAAGAGCAAAAAAAGCGATAAATGAAATTATTAATTTTTTATTTTTAGGTGATATATTATCATGTCAACCAAATCTCTACAATTGTACTTTACCATTAACAAGAAAATCTTCACGTCGAACATCAGTCAAATCATCAACACAAAATCCTGATGAAAAAATTTATACACATACATTAAATCTATTAAATACACATCAATATACAATACCATTTGAATTAGATATATCAGACTCTTCATTTCTTAAAATTCAACCAACAACATTAACAACATTAACACCACAATCAAAACTTAATGTACAATGTCAATTTCATTTATCACAAGAATTAATTGATCGTTTCTATACATCAAATTTAAATGCAAATCCATCATTATTATCAAAAATAAAACAAACAACAACAGTTGAATATGGACGTCGAATACAATGGCAAGAACATTTAACAGTGAACTTTACTCAAAATGAGATGAAACAAATAATACCAATTGATATTCGATTATATTTTCCAATATTATCTGTTAATCATGATAGTATTGATTTTGGAATGTGTTTTATTGAACAAACTAGACAAAAAGAATTGATATTAAAAAATTTAACTGGGTCATCATCAGCATGGTCAATAAGAAAAGGTATTTTAGTATTGAGTTAAGAATTTATCTATCTCAAGTCCGCAGACTGAAGGATTAAACGCATTATTTTGAAAAAATTACTTTTATTTTCTCTTACTATTACCTATTTATAAGCAAAGCTTGATAATCAATATATATATATTTGTTTTTTAGTTCATGCTAATAATCCAGATGCCTATGAAGCATTTCGAATTGAACCAAAATCTGGTATATTAAAAACTCAATTAAATTCAAAAGAAAAATCTGCTCAACAAGTTATATCAATTTATTTTACGGCTCGACATAATCATACTTATGAATGTCAATTATTGGTCGAAGGTTTACTTGATGAGCCACCAATTTCAATACTCTTAACTGGAGAAGGTACATTCGATGGTAAATACGAAGCAATTCACGATATTTAATTTGAAAGACATAATACTCAACTTTTTTTTATATATATTTTTAATCTATAATAAAAAGAAACGATCTCATTTTATTCTTTGTATGAAGAAATACTGAAATTCTTCGATAGCTAGAAGCATTAATTTTATAAGATGCGTATTTGAAAATGATCCATTTCGTAGCATTGTTATTTTCACTGAGTAAAATCCCATAGTTACTTATTGGAATATCTCTCTTTATAAGGTTTTGTAGTGAATTGACCATAATTTAATAGAGATATTCGTAAGATACCGAGAGATTCATGCATTCTGATGCATTTATGATATGAGATCTTCAGAAATAGATTGTGATACAGATTTACATATAAA